AGTAGAGGTAATAAAAATAATAATAAAAAATTAAGAGCAATGGTTACCTCAGTCGAAAACCGAAAGGCGGCTAAGGTAACATTCTTCCAGAAGCAAGCAGTCTGCATAGTCTTCACTCTGAGCTCAGGCATCTCAACTGAAGCAATTAGGAGAACCAGGGGGCAAATATCATGGACATGACTGTTTAAGCCTATATAGTATAGCTAACCCCAACCATCCATTCTTCTAAATACCTTTTGAAATCCTTCTATAAAAATAAACTTTTGCTCATTTATCAATAAATTTCCCTTTTATTTCATTTCTCTTGACCAAATATTATGGAAATGTCTCTTTATTGATAAATCATAAAATATGCACAAAGACCTTTAATCAAAGATCAAGCATGCATCTAAAAAAAGGAAGCATAAAAAAATAATAAGAAAAGAATAAATGCCTACTAGGATATTCTTAGGTAAAAATCAGGGTAGCCTGCTAGATCGGAAACCCCAAAAGAACGGTCTAGACAAAAGATAAGGCAAAAGCCCCCTAAGATATTCTAGGCAAAAATTAAGGCAGCTCGTTAGATCGAAAACCCGTAAAGGGCGATCTAGACAAAAGATAGGGCTAAAACCAAAAGATGAATAAAAGAGGAGCTCATCATCATGGTCATAAAAGAGGAGCCCATCGGCATATTCATAAGAAGCCAACAGGAGAAGGCCAGTTACTTTCTAAATGCATAAAAAACAAAAAACAAATAGATTGCATCTAGAACATCCACACACAAAGTAGTTGCACAAAACGACTTTGTCAAAATCAAGAAAAAATAATTTTCTTTAAATAAGAATAATAAACATGCATATAAGGAGTCTAGTCTCCATCCTTGTGATTGAAAACAGGAGGCGCCAGAATCCAGTCTCCAAATAAAAATTCCCTCAAGAAAGAAAAGGTGAAATCAAAACCATTTCAGCAGAATAAAGAGCTTCAAGGAAACTAGCTCTAACCTTCTACCCCAATAAAAGAAGGTACACCGGAAAAAGGCCAACGGAAAGGCTCGATCATCCCCAAGCGGATCCTTACCTACTCCAAAGGAAAAACAAAAATTACTTCATGACTCTGTTAGAATCGCGCAGCGGAATGTTCGCGTTGTCGGACAAAAACCAAGAGGGGGGGGTGAATTGGTTTGTTAACAAAAATTAGGTTTTCAAAATTTTCCCCAAATTTTACCGATTAAAAACTGTGTAAATGTAAATAGAGAAGAGAAGAAATCTTACACAGGAGATTTATACTGGTTCGGATCAAAAGACCCTACGTCCAGTTGCTAATCACTCAAATAGAGGATTAACGTTGTCACTATAATCAAGTTGTTACAAGAAAATTACAATTGAAAAGATAAAGATAAGAAAACACCTCTCTTGAAACCCACAAGAGATGATGAACAACTTTCCCTAGAGACGGCACAACACACAATCCACTAATAACTCCACTTAGTGATTCTTATCACTTCTAACCCACACCAGGTTCCGAAAGCCCCTTTTTCTTGCAACAAATAGTTCTCTGGCACTCACAACACTTAACTTTTGTATGAAAAAGGTTGTTCTTCTTTTCTGAGTGCCATAGAGAAGCTTAAGTAGAGAAATTAGGGTTTGGGAATTGGGAATTTCGGAATTAGGGTTCTTGGGAAAAGGGTTTTCGAAAATAGGGTTGATTTGAAGTTAAAAATCAAAATCTGACTGAAATAATCGATTAAATGAAGTATTAATCGATTATTACAGAGCCAAAATCAACAGAACCCCAAAACTCTCTGTTTTAATCGATTAAAAGGGCTGTTAATCGATTAACAGGCCTGTTAATCGATTAACAGGTGGTTTAATCGATTAAACCAGTGAGCAGATACAGAAAATGGTTTTTCTCACTGTTTTAATCGATTATTTCCCTATTTAATCGATTAAAGCCGAGCCTGGATGATAAATTTGAGCTTTTTGAAGCTTCTAAGGTGCAGACTATGTACCGGCTATCTTAAACTCTAATATTACAGACTCAATCTAATTTAAATAGAGTTATTACAATACAAAACAAGTTTTCAACACTCTAAGTCTTTATGTTCTTGAATCATCATCAAAATCAACAATCTTCATGTCCATCAAGTGCAACATCAAGTCCTTGAATGTTCAACAATCTCCCCCTTTTTGATGATGATCAAAATTATCTTTTAAAGCCTTTGTAATAACCTGTTTTATCTGTCATACTAACAAACACATTAAACATACCAGATAATATTTAAAAACAATTATATTAGGCTTTAAATATTGTCTCCCCCTATTTTGATTAGAATAAAAAATAATTCTTTTATTACAAACATAAGAGCTCCCCCTCAAAATATGCATAACTTAGAGAAAACTCCCCCTCAATCAAAGCAATAACAGAACACCACATTTTATTTCAGACATAAGCATTCATTACAATAAAAAAAAATAATTAGAAATTTAAAATTCTTCACTATCATCACTATGAAAGTGTGCATCAAATCTATTTTCTAAACGGCACACTTTATCATCTACATCAGATATACGGCGAATTATTTCTTCATGTCGTACTCCAGAAAGAGTGAAGAATGACTACATTCTCTGATTCATGTCTGATAACATGTCTTCCATGGATTGTCGAGTTTCATGATGAGTAGAGGAAGTTCCAACACTTTGGATTTGATCAGAGGGAAACTCAGCAGCAAGAGGCATGTCTTCATCAGAATCTTCATTATCGTTACCTTGATTCAGAACGTCATCCTTGTGAACATAAATGTCGTTGACACGCACCATTTGAAGTTGAATTAGTGTGTTGTCTAGCATGCGATTTAAGTTATTTGTGCGTACTGTTTTTTCACCTTCGACATTTATTCCCTTGTATTCAAGGATGCGAGAAACAACGAGGGCATATGGAATTTTGAATGTGGGATGACGTGTGGTTTTTAACATAGTCATGGTGACAATTACACCCCAATCTAAAGGCTCATTATTCATTATGGCATGAATAATACGAAGATCAATTGAAGAACATTGTGCATGATTCGTAGCTCGGGGACATAGGATCCAGACAAGTAGATGAAGAATCATGCGTTCCTCCTTCTTCAAAGGTCCAGCAAGAAGGAGACGTCCAATCTCCAAGGAGGGATTTCGCAGAAAAGAACGGTAAGCTAAGAACCTGTCAAAATCATCTAACTCACCATAAATGTTAATAGCATCTTCTCTAATTGGAAAGTGAGCGACGTTTTCCCAAATATCATCGTCAAGAATAATTGTGACACCCTTTACTCTAGAAGTAGCAATTTGATCTCTAAATTTAAATCTAGAGTAAAATACCCTAACTAAGTCAGGATAATAAGTACCTTGCATTTGGATGAAGGGAAGAACTCCTTGAATTTCAAGAAGATTGGGAAAATTGAATCCCCTATTGATGAATTGCTCACCAATAAGAAACTTAGGAGAAATAATAGCACGTTCCTTCCAGTAGGTCAGAAATTCTTGTTGGCCATCTGTATCAGAAATCCATCCTTCTATAGAATTAAGACGGGGACGAGATGAGAGTGCAGATCTTCTTCTAGTAGGGATCTTAGCACGAGAAGATGAGGTCATTGAAAGATTAGAAGAGTAACAAGAAGATTTAGAAAGCTAAGTGTAGTGAGAAGAGGGCAATTTAGCTAGAATAAGGCAAGAAAGCTTGATTTCAAGAGATAGAAGTGAGTAGAAGTGAAATGGAGGTTCCTATTTATAATCAAACATGTCCAACGGTCATATGGAAGTGAATATAGGTCAAGAGATCCGTTGGCAACGGCTAGGAAGCCAAACTTGCCAGGTTTAATCGATTAAAACTTAGATTAATCGATTAAACCAGTTCCAGAACCATTTAATCGATTAAATTGTGCAGTTAATCGATTAATGTTGTATTTAATCGATTAATTGTCGAATTAATCGATTAATCCAGAGAGGAATGCCCTGTTTTGAGTGTTTTGGATGCAAATAATCGATTATAACTCCAATTAATCGATTATTCCAGAGAGTACATCAAATTTTTGAGGTTTTAACACATGATAAACTATTAACATCCTGTATAATGAATTTTAACATTACAATCATCCAAAAACTGTCTCAATAAGCAGAATTTAAGCTATTTCTAATATCCCTAAGTCTCTTCTAAGATCATAAAATCTATCCTTGGGTAGAGGCTTAGTAAAAATATCTGCTAATTGATGCTTTGTATCAACATACTCTATTTTACAGTTTCCTTTGCTGATATGATCTCTCAAAAAGTGATGCCTAATTTCTATGTGCTTAGTCTTAGAGTGCATTACTGGATTCTTAGTAAGATTAATTACACTCGTATTATCACACATCAAGGGTATGTCATTTAAAAATATACTATAATCTTCTAACTATTGTTTCATCCACAAAATTTGAGCACAACAACTACTAGCTGCAATATATTCAGCTTCAGTGGTAGATAAAGCAACACAAGCTTGTTTCTTAGAATGCCAAGATACTAAGGATGAACATAACAAATGATATGTCCCACTAGTACTTTTCCTATCAATTTTGCATCCACCATAATCAGCATCAGAATATCCTATTAAACTAGTACAAACATCAGAAGGATACCATAAACCAAAACCAGTAGTTCCTTTTAAATATTTTAAAATATGTTTTACTGCAATTAGATGAGATTCTTTTGGACAAACCTGAAATCTAGCACACACACATACAAAATGCATACCCTTCGATTTCTTTGTAGCCTTATGCTAGTCAAAAGATTAGGAATGTTACCGCCTGATCTGAAAGTCATTTTCAATATTAGTGCTTATTTTTATGTATATTTCTTTTACTTCATGGTTAAAATCATTTGCATATTTGGAGCTTTATGGATCCATAGGTTTCATGCCAATAAATGGAAATGGACATATGGCATTTAGATGGAACTACATATGCCAAAATTATGTCTTGTTTTTTCATATTTTCCTTCATATTGGCATAATGGATGAGATGATGCGTGGACAAAGAGGGTGGAGAGAATTAGCAATCTTGGGGGATAAAATAGAGAAGTTCTCTGGTATGCTAGAGGGCTTTATTTGGTCTCTTAGGAATAGTGAAGCCAATGACTATTTTGATGATTGGGCTTTTGAGAAGGTAATAATTAGGAAACATTTTCTTGCACCATCACTGCTTGCTTCTCTAATTTATTCCATTGTTCAAATGCATGTTGGAAAGGTTTTAATATATGTAGTGACAGATCTTGACCATTGATTTTGGGGGGTCAAATAATATATTATTAATAAATAATAAATAAATATAAAAAGAAGAAAGAAGATAAAAGGGTGAAAGGATAAAATTGTAGATATATACTTAAATATATTAAATGATCATTAAGTTTGAGGGAATAAAATCATAAATTATATGAGAGTTACAAAACTAAGGAGGGGCTGAGAGGATAAAATTGTAAAAATACAAGTAAATATATTAAATGTTCATTAAGTTTGAGGGGGTCAAAATCATAAATTACATAAGAGTTACAAAATTTTGGGAGGTTCACGGTCCCCCTCAACTCCCAAGAAGATCCGCCACTGAATATATGGGATTTAATCTTGTAATAAATATATTGGACGATTTTAAATTTAAGCTTAGCAATTCTATTTTTTTATTTTTTTTAGAATGTTAATATAATTTTAAAAAAATTCATTTAACATATTTTGTACAGGTTAGTATATTATAGCTGATGAGTTATTTGCACAACTTCCTTTGCTTAAACTGCTTATGAACTAAACAGCATTTTTCAGTTATGAATTACCACTTCCTTAAACCTTATGGTGATTCTTTGTTTGTATATGTTAGATTTCATTATTTCAGCTTTGTTTCGTGTTTTGTAATTTTTGTCTACCTCATACTTAAAGTGCTTGTGAACTATGAGAAAGCGATAAAGTTTTCTACAAACTAACATAATACAGACAATTCTTGTAAAATATCATGTAATATGTAACAATTTGACAGTGACATAGGGTCCTTAATGATTTATTGATTACAACTACACATTATAAGGTTTAGTTCTTAAGGGCACCTTAGCCTATAGCTTTGTATCTTTCATTTTATTTTGTAAAAAACCTCATCTATCTTGAGATAGCATCAAAGGTTAACCCTTTAAAACTTTGGTGCTCTTCATTTATGTTGCCCAAATATAAATTTTTCTCCCAAAAATATCAAAGAAACAATGAAAAGTAAAATGAGAGAAACAAGAAGATCCATCATTTTACAGGTATTAGGTAGCAAAATTATTGAGAAGCTGGAACCACACTATATACCTTTGTCTCTATAACCGAACAACTTTTGCCTTCTAAAGAATAGTCAATCATGAGGTGTAGATTTGTGAAAGAAGTCTTGTAGGTGTTTCCTATTAATGAAGCATGATCTGTTATTTTTAGAGGGTGTCACTTGATTAAACAAAATAAGGGAGTGTGTGTCACACTAGATAAAGCCTATAAGGCATATGAGGGTTTGTTATTATCATTTTGAGAAGACCTTGGGAGAAGTTAGAATAATTTCCCAAAAGTATATTTGTCAATAGAAAAAACTAGAAATTGTAAGATTTGATGTGGGGCATACAACTCTTGAATCTTACTGGACAAAGTTTTATTCTGAATTGAGAATGTTATGCTGTAAATTAAGGGTCCCATTCTGATTTCACTGAACCAAAATCTGGAAGCACAGCTTGTGTGGATGTCATCCAAGGAAACAAACTTGTTGCTATAATGCTACAGATTCTATATGTGTCTTATCAAGGAAAGGCCAGGTATTCTCACCTTCTCTTTGCAGTTTTTTTGTATTCTCTAGATTTAGTAGGCATGTGATATAAGCTTATTGGCTGCAGAAATAGGATGATAAATGCTGTTAATTTTGGCTGCAATTTTTGTGTTCTGGAATAGATATTTTAGTACAGATAAAAGTTGTATTATTTTAACATTATTTTATTTTTGTAGTGAGATGAGCAGATGAACTTCATGAACTAGATACAACTTATTTTACAACATATTTAGATGAATAGTCCTCTTATGCCTGACTCTAGTCAACCTACTACAAGTCAACATGATACTGACAATATATCAAAAGATTAATTTTCAGTTTATCATATTAAAACTTTGAATCTTGAGTGGTTGTTTAAAAATATTTTATTTTTGTTATGACTTTGAATCTTGAGTGCTTGCATGACTTTGAAATGTTTATGTTATGATTTGAATAATTTGACTTTAGTTTTTAAGTTTTTACTTATGTTCTGATTGATGATATTTATTCATAAATTGAAATTTTTTAAGGTTGATTAGAATATTGCATTGGATGATTAATATTCAGGATGATGACATTTACTATTTTTGATGATTAAAATTTTGGATCAATTAAGCAGGTACAAATTATGGAAAATTGGATATACAAAATTTGAAAAAATAATTTCCAGTTTTGGTTAGATTAGTGACCGAATTTTCGGTCGCTCCAAATATATTATAATATATAATTGAAATTTAGCGACCCAAACTATTCGGTGGCTATTTTTGTGACCGACTTAGTAACTGATTTAAATTATTATTTAAAAAATTCAATTAATGTATTAGCAATCGATTATATCGGTCGTTATTTTTTTAACTGTATCACCAATTTAACGATCGATTTAATATATTAATTTTGGTTGTTATTTTTATGAATGATTTAGCGACCGATTTAAATTATTATTTAAATAATTCAATTAATATATTAGCGACCAATTATATCAGTCGCTATTTTTTAACTTTACCACCAATTTAGCGATCGATTTAATATATTAATTTTGGTCGCTATTTTGCGACTAAAAGGAAAATCAGTCGCTAACGCATTAGCGACTTGACCTTTTACGACGACGTATTTCGGTCACTAACTGATTAGCGACTGATTTTTTGACATTAGCAACTAAATGTATCGGTCGCTAAAATTGTTTTTTCTTCTAGTGATTCTTTTGGTCATTTAAGTTTTACTAACACGATGCAAACTATCAACTAATAGACCATGCACAGTATATCCCCAATTATAATCATCCAATGCCTCCAAATCATCTAATAAACTAAATGGAGCACTATGAACCGTGCGAGATGTGTGAGAAAAATAAAAAACTGTCCAACTAAGTAAGATATAAAGCTTACAAAAGTCAATTACATATTTATCATTCTTAATTTTTTTTTTCTTGAAACTTCTAAACTATGTTTGTTACTGTTATTTGTTCTTATTCGTCTAATAAATCTTTTACTAAACATGTACCACTATATTTTAAAGCAACTATCTCCCCCCCTTATATGTAAACCTAACGCAAAACAAACATCTAAAGAGGTGAATGAGACAAGATATTGTTTTATTCTAAATCAATTATCACTAACTGACCATCAACTAATTAGTTCTCTTATAACGTTGTTAGATATTTGCAATGATTTTTTATTTTTATTTGAAGAAGTCATTTAAAGGGGTTTCTTCAATAGCTGCTCGTTAGAATGTAGTCATGTTTGAATTTATATCAACTATATACACTACAAGAAAAAACACTTTTAGCGACCGAAATTAGCGACCGATTTTATTTGGTCGCAATTAGAGACCAATTTAGCAACCGATTTTACCACCAAAATATGATTTGGTTTCACTTTTTTAGTTTGCGTCGCAAAATTTTGGTTGTTAAATCAGTGACTATTCCATACTAAAATAAAAAAAATTTAACGACTAATTTAGTGACCGAATTACAAATTAAAATAGTGAGTGAATTAAAATCGGTCGCTAATAAGAAAATAGCGACCAAATTGAAATTGGTAGTTAATAAACATTATTTTTTATTATATTTAAATTTATTTTTTTATAAATATACTTTAATTGCTTTAGTATTTTTTACAAATTATTTTTTAAAAGTAATTTATATTTTTTTAAAATAATTTATTTTTTAAAATATACTTTAAAAATAAACTTTGGTCTCAATGTTAACAAAATGAAGATTAACTTTAATTTTAAATTACTAAAATAAAAATATTATTAAAAATAAATCAAATTTATTAAAAATTTAAATTGTAATAAATTAATACTGGAGTGATATTAATTATTCAATACATTATTTAAGAAAAGTTTAATAACAAATATTCTTTAATATATTTTTCAATTGAAAATTTCAATTTAAATTAAATTATATTTTAAAAATTTATAGTAAAAAAATTGAACACATCAAATTATCACATTTTAATTCTTCATTAACTTAATTAATTAAAAAAATTATAATTTCAATCAAATTATTTCAATTTTATTTTATAATACTTTATTTTTAATCTAGTTTTTAAATTTATTACTTTATTATTATTAATTGTTTAACCATGGTTGTTTTCATATAATTGATATACCAAAAAAATTTATATCAAAATATAATTGATATACATTAGATAATAAATATATTATTTAATTAAATTATTTATAAAAAATATATTTATCTTTAGTTGAAATATTTTCTACTTTAAGTATACTAATTAATATTTTTCATTTTTAACAAAATTAATAACAAAGATTAAAAATGGGCTACTAGAAAAGTGAAAGATTTAAAACTAATCCATTTTATAAATACTAAAAATAAACCATATTTAAATAAATTAAAAATATATTTAAATATATAATCAACACACTTCCAATTTTGTTCAATAAATGCATAGATCACATTTGGAAACTTCATCACTGAAATAATTTCAAAATTATTAACTTTTTTTATCAAAGCCCAGTTTTTCTTATCAGGTTAAAAAAAAAATAGTTAATGTAAGTTAAGGTTGTATCTTTTTAAAATATCAACTTCTTTATATATTGAATTTTTATTAAAAAGTTTCTAAAATTGGATAAGAAAATGAATATTTAATTATACTTTTAATAAATTTAACATAATACTAGTTTTTATTTTTATTTTTAAATATTTATTTTAATTTTTTAAAACAGAGAAACTATAATTTTAGTGTCTAAATACTAAATTTAAAGAATTAAATTTATTATTATTTAATCTCTTAATTTTAGTATTAAAAATTTAAATTATATTTTATTAAATTAAAATAATTACAATATATTTTTCTACTTTGATAATTAAAAATATAATTAAACTAAAGCTGAAAATATTATAATACATTTTTGAACTCTTTTTTATAATATTTTTATCATTATTATATTTTTGGATTATTTTTTTTTCTAATTTTTTATAAAATAAATACTTGTCTCAAATAATATAAAACAAATTTAATGATGGATTAAGATAGAACAACATTTATAAGAGACTATTTATTTTTATTTATGATCGATCAAAAGTGGAAATATATTTAAATTTATAATTTTATTTATGAAACACATTTAAATTTATAATTAACGCAAATAATATAAATCTTAATATAATATGATACTTCTAGTAATGTATTTTTTATAAATTTAAACTTACTTTTTTTGAGTTTAGTTTTTAAATTTTATGTATTATTATTGTTAATTGATATACTAGAATAAATTTATATAAAAATAGTCTTTATCTTCAAAATTCATTACTTCAAATTCTATCTTTATATTTTTCTACAATTTCTTTGGTTAAGAAGGTCAACATTTATGCACACACTTAAATATAATATAAAGTAACGAGTACTTATTTATTCTATTTTCTTTCCAATCTATAATTTTAGTATTTTTTTAAAATATATTTTATATTTTTAAATTAATAATTTTAATGTAGTTATATAAGCTTTTGATGTGATTATTTTAATTAATTGATATTATCAAACTATTTTATTTGATTTATTATAGTAAAAATCATAAAAATAAATGTTAAAATAATATTAATTATTTGAAATTATAAGAAAATAAATAATAAAAATAGAAAATAAATTATCATATAAAAGAAGACTAATTATTGTAAAGATAAAATAGAATATGGGAGATGAGGATGATAATGTGAAAATAATGAGGGGGAGATTGATGGAAATGTTCCCGCATTCCCAAGAGATGATTTTGATGATGATTCAAGTCAACTTCGTTCAAGTCAACACCATTCAAGATGAATTTAAGGACAAACTGAATTTATGACATAGGTGACAATGTGAAACATTTCCCTACATGCCCAATATATGTTTTTGATAAAGATGATAATTCAAGCAAGCCCAAGATGATTCCTGAAGACTAGATAGAGTCTTAGAATACTGGATATGGAGGTACAAGTTGATGAAGTAATATTATGCATAAGCCTCCAAAGCACAAGTGTAATAAAATTCATAACATGATATTTTTCTCTGTCATAATTAATTATGATGCATCAGAAATGAAAAAATGATTTTCTCTATCATAATTAATTATACTGGTAATATAATCAATTATGACAATTCAAATTTGAAAAATATATCCGTTTTAAAGAATAAATGTTTTTGAATACATCCTGATTTTCTCTATGATATTATTAATGTCCAACGACCATTTTCTGATACTATTTTTCTATTTAATTAAGTTTTGATGAAAAATAAAAAAGACACAATTACAAAATTCGAAAATACAATTTACATTCAATCAGTTTTGAGAAAAGAATTCTGAGCAAGACAACAGAGATATTTTACACCTTTTGAGAAAACCCTCTTCTTCTCTACTGTCTTCTGTGCTTTCATTGTTAATCACACTTGTTCTTGGAGATTGGCATTCTACAAGCTTCTACAATTTGTTGTCTCCATTATCCAGGTGTGTCTGTTCTTATTTTTATTACCTTCATCCTTTTTGCATTGGTGGAAAAAGAGGTTCTTTTCATTCCTAGTGTGATTCTAGGGAGGTGTTCATCCTTAGTGAGATTCTAAGGAGGTGTTTTTCATCCTTTGATTTGTTCAGAGGAGGTGTTCATCCCTAGTGGGATTCTAGGGAGGTATTCATCCTTAGTGGATTTCTAAGGAGGTGATTGTCTTTTTAATTAGTTTACTTTTGACTGGTTCTTCTGCTGAGTTGATTATAATTTGTAAATTGAATTTGAAAGATAGTGAATGGGGAGTCACTCTTGTGTTAAGAGTTGACTGGGAACTGGATGTAGGGTTGACTATATCCGAACCAGTATAAATCTATGTGTGATCTTCTCTTTCCCTTATCTCTTTCTCTTTTCCTGATTATATTATTGCTTCTGCTTTAACAAATTATTGACTCACAAATAAATTTTTAATTTAACATCTATTTTAATTTGTGCATCTAGTCACCCCTCTAAATGTCATTTGTCTAATATAATGTAGTAGAAATGATAGAGTTTAAAATAAAAATGTAGAATGTGAGAAGTTTAAAAAGAAAAAAAAGGATATATACATAAGTAATTGGATTAAATTTATTATCATCTCATATATTATTATATATTATTAGCGTAATTTTAGTTTAATTAAAAATTAGAATACAAATATACTATATTATACTAATTACCAATATATTATAATATTTGTAATTTATTTTCATTGTGTATAAATTACAAAACTAATAATTTTTAAAAATTTTAATGATAATTTTGTTAACTTATATATTACAAAATATTTTTAATACTTTAATAAATATAAAATTTTTTAAATATATTTCATCAATTTAAAGTATAATTTTTTGGTATTTTTTTTAAAATGTGGATATCTTTAATACATGTAAATATATTTTATATATTTTTAAAACTTTTTCTAAAATTTGTTTTTAAATATATAATATTATTTTAATATTTAATTTTTTAATTTTAATTTTTTTCTTAAATGATAAATGAATAATATTAATATTTTTTAATTAATTAAATTTATAAATAATGAATTAAAAACATTTCTTATCTTTGAAAAATATAATATTATCTTTAATATTTTAATATTTATATTATAAATTCTTTATTAAAATATTAGGGTTCTTGTCTTTTTCTTTTATTTCATCTCTATTTCATGCTATCAAGAATTTTTTTTCCATCTTATAAATTAAATTTTAAATATATAAATATATCGGGATATCAATATATCAATATATCAAAATATATAAATATATTTATATTTATAGAGTTTATATTTATATATTTATACAGATATACATTTATTTGTATATAAATAAAAATTATTTGTAAGTTATTACTTGAAAAATCCTAATAGCTTAGTGGTTTGAGTATTAACCTCAAACTCTAAGATATTGGGTTTGAATCTTGTCTTTGACAATAATTTAATATTATTTAAATAATTTAATTAATATATTAGTAACCGATATAAATTGGTTGCTTTTTTTTATTTATTTTACTACCGATTTAATATATTAATTTCGGTCGTTATTTTGATATCTAAGAAATAAGTGACCGAATTATTTAGCGATCATCTTTTCGGTCGCATACTAAACACTTGTAATAACCTAACCTAACATTACAAACCTACAATTTTAATAAAACAAATATTGGATGGTGTATAACAATATAAGACTACAATAAGTAACAATAATCTACATTAACATTTCAAACATACAATTTTCACATAAAACAAGTACTAAACTATATGAACAAGTATTACACTAAGACATTATCATTGCCAAGGAGTAACAATAAATGCTAAGGAGACCTACCCATAACTTGGATAAGAGGTTTAACAAATGCTAAAAAGATCTACCCATAACTTGGATAAGAGGTTTATAGGGTAAGGACCGTTACCTCCAAAAGACCCTTGCTAGTCAGAATATAGACAACATTAGTTATCATCTACTACAAATATTGCATTCTCTAAAACAAACTTATGAGTCAATGTACCCTATATCAGTTGTTGCACACTAACTCATCTCAGTCAATACATCCCATAATTGTTTTCATGTTGATTTTACATCATTGATCAAAGATCCAAGAAACAAAGTACCTCTCATTTGTAAAAAAATTACTAATTCTAAACTTAAAGCTAAAATTCAAATAAGAAAATGTGTGTTTTATGTAAGATAAATTGAAACTTTTTGATTGTGCGATTTGATCAAACAGCTGTTAGACATCATTTAATATTTTACCAGGACTCAATTCACAACTGTCTTGAAAAACACTTTTATTACAAAATCCAATGAAAGATTAACTGAAAAGAAAATAACATTCATCTATACATAGAATGAAAACAGTCGACTACCCTTCGCAAAATATAGGTACTCTTCGTTAAATTGAAGACGGCGGGTGAAAGTGAAGAGTGGATTTGCTGAAATTGAAGACGATGACGCTCAATCGAAGACTGGCTGGGCACCGCGAGGGGTCGTGTTGCTGAAATTGAAGACGATGGCCCTCAGCCGAAGACCGGCGGGGACGGTGGGATCTGAATCGAAGACTGGCTGGGCACCGGGAGGAGTCGTGTTGCTGAAATTGAAGATGGTGGATCTCAATCGAAGTCTGGCTAGGTCGTGTGTTTCTCTTTAAAATTGCATCTATTTTAATGAAATCCACTTTGAACAACCGAAAGACTGAGAGTTCACGCTCTTGCTTTCTCACTCTGACCAATCCTCACCATCATCGGAGACAAATGACACTAACACTAGAACTGGTGAAAAATTCAAGCGAGTGACTCTTTCGTTTCCATCATTAAACATATATATGGCACTTCTACAAATTGATTCCTCAATTTTAATAATATTGCATCTTTCAACGTTGTAAATTACAAATAAAACCTTCAATTTTAATCATTTTCCAATTTGGAATACACACTTGCCTGCAAGCATGCATTTAACACAAGATCCATATTACGATTTTAAATCTTACAATCTATTAATATGACACAATTATTTAGAAAACCATTAGTGTAGCCACTGGCATTGACAAGGCCTGTGTAGACTTGGTCACTCGCATTTCCGGAGGAAGAAAGACGTTTGAGAATTTCACTTAATTTCTTGTCAGTCAAGGATGAGACGGTGCTAGAACTGGCTCCATTATTGCAATGAGAACACGCACCAGGCGACCATACACCGCTGCGACAGGTTTGTTCAATAACCTTGCGCAGATCAGCACTTGGGTGTACGAAAGGACCCTCCACTTCAACAACAAAACCGTGGCCTTTATTGCGACGAACTTTGGCTGCAACAGAAACACCGACCTCTCCGGTGAGATAATAGTGCGCCACATTCACCATGTAAGCATCCCGAGAGTATAACAATTTCTTCTTTTCCAGCACAACAAGACCTTCTCTGTCTGAACAACCGTACGGTGCAATAGTTGTCTCTATTGAGAGATCTTCCATGTCCCTTTTAAAGGACATTGGACTGCTAAGGTTCCCGCCACCAGAAGAAACAGAAGCTCCTATCCCTCCACGAAGACGATCACGTCCAACCCTTGTGATACCCAAGTGCAATTGAATTTGATTATTTGCGGAATTATCACTTAACGAAAAAGTGATGTTCTTAACACGATTGAATTCACGACTTGCCCCCAGGTGAAAACAACAAATTTGGTTCTTCATCTGACCTATTTTGTATACCACGCTCCAACCTTTAGTGTCATCATTTTCTTCCGTGTTTGCCATGCAAACCACAAAATCGTCTCCTAAACATGCTATGGTACCACTGGGGGTTGCTAGATAGGAAGTACATTGGGTTGGAAGGTTGGTTTGACTACTGTAAGGGATTCCCATTATATATATATGGCTATATTCAAAGGAGTAAGGTTTGAGGAAATATTCAGGTTAGAGTAAAGCCATATATAACTGGAATGAGTCTCCAATCTAGTATGTGAATTTGGGTTTTGCTCTGGGAGATTGAATATGTCTCACCACCTTCTGTACATATTTATATCAGAAAGAAATATTAAGAAAACGCAGAACCTTGCAACATTATTATTGTTATGATTTTTTTGGTTGATGAAGTGTCCCAACACTACGATCAAGAATCTAATGCCAAAGAAGATAACAAGGACGAATAATGAAAACAGTATTAGATGCTATTGAATTATCATAGTTAATGTGAGTCTTTACATGATAATATATAACTATTTCGTAAATTAGAAAATTGAAAATATATTATATATACATTAGCTAAGATCATTAGCAGGTGATGATTCAATCAAACATATATAGTAGTTTCTCTTAATAATGGGGCTGTAGCTATCGAAGGAGACATTGGGCTTGTCTTATATGTATATTGGTTTTTTCAGGATCTATCGCTGAAAATTAATAATACCATGCATAGAATAGAATAAAGGGTATTACCCAAACATTAAAAGATAGAATAAAGGAAACAAAGCACTAAATGTATAGGGCATCGCATTGATCCTAGATTGATGTGTCCAAAGTTCAAAATTAAGATAAGCATCTTCAAAAACAATAACCTAAAACCCTAAATTTGAGGTATATAATATTTTGGTGACAAAATTGACCAGACCACCGAGTTTGGAATCAAGCTAATGAGCTTGGAGAAGTATCGCAATCGAACGCGACTTGAGCCATTCTTTATGCCAGTTGAACAATTTCAGCTTAATAATGATGTAAGGTATGAAACTACCGAATTTTGAACCAATTCAATGAGCTTAGAAAAGTTATACTGACAAATACCATTTACAGCATGCAAATAATATTGTTTTAAGAAAAACTAACGCCATTAAAATCTTGATAGAAAAACTGTAAATAAATTAATCATTTCAACATCGGGGGTTAACGACGGAGGAAACTGATAAAATCTGTACTTTTTACATCAATTCCTTAAGTATTCGACGTAGAAAATGACATATGCACCTTCGATTGTGAAGTATATTTTTTTTTTTTTGTTGTTGAAACTCAATTCCAATCATAAATGAAATTACACATAATTAATATTATATATATATATATATATATATATATATATATTATAAAAGAAATTTTAATTTCCTTAATTATAATAATAATATTCTAAATTTTTTTAAATTGTTATAAACAAGATTATATAATAATAATCTTAATATAAATAATAATACTTTGACATTTTATTTTTATTATTTTTTATTATTATATATTTATCTTTTATTTAAATTAATTACTTCTTTATGATATTAAAGTCTCATTTAAAAGTGATACTAGCACTTCACCATGTGTAAAAATAGAGTTGTTACCACAATCAAAATTCATCACGTCCTTATTATATTCTAACGAGAGTCCTTCACCGTTCATTATGACATCAATTCTCATAAACAACTATCACATATGACCCAAATTTTTCATGGGAAGTCTTACTTCCATAATTGAGTATTTGATCGCTCCAACGTCAAGATAGGTTTTATTTGCCTTCGGTCTAAAATAAGAGGTTAATTATCCTAGTTAATCAATCTAATAACTCAAGAAATTCATACCTATATAACAAGTTTTATACAAATTATGTCAATGTCTCTAGTGTTTCACAAAATTGATTTAAATATTCCTTTCAGTCAAAAGTTCAGTAATGATAATTTCATCCCTTAGACAATTGATCCATGCAGTGGCGGATCTTGACCAGTAAGTCTGGGAGGCCGATTATAAAAAAAATTATATAATAATAAATAAAAATAAAATATTTATTTAAAATTGTGCCCTTCATTCTTTTAAATGTTTAAACTCATCAATAATGGAATCAGAACTAAAGTTTTCAGTTATTTCTTTCTTAATATAAATGATCATATTATTTGCAAGAATTTCATCTTCCAGTCTATTTTGCAGTCTTGTTTTGATAATCTTCATTGCAGAAAATGATCTCTCAATTGTAGTTGTAGAAACAGGAAGAGTTAAAATAAGACGAATTAAATGATCTATTAAGTAAAATGTACCTGACTTACCTGTTTTTGTCAAAGATTGACATAATTCAAGCATGGTAGACAAATTCTTCAAATCTGGATGGTTAGGAGCATCAAGTATAAAATGATGAAGTTGAAATTTTAAATTAATCTTCTCTTGTTCACTAAAATCCAAAGGATAAAATTTGTTCACAAGTGTGCATATATGATCAATGTTAAAATTTTTATAAACATCATTTGGAATTAAAGCATTGCTTAAAGTTAAAAGTTCCATTGTTTTCTCACTAAACCTATCATTTAATTCTTGTAAGTGTTTATCCACTGTAATAAAAAATATATTCACCCTAAAATGATGTTCTACTGTAATACAATCTTTTTGATGTCGAGAATGACCATGACGTGCTACATAGGTAGAATTAAAATTAGGAATATCAATTTCATGTTGGTCACAGTGGCGGATCTTCATAGTAATTAAGGGGGGCCATGGCCCCCCCAAAGTTTTGTAACTTACTTGTATATTTATGATTTTGGCCCCCCAATATTAAATATATCATAAAGAAAAAACTGAAGGAATAAATTAAATAAGAAAGATTAAAAATAATTTTATTATCTAACCTTTCTATCTTCTCTCACTTTTTCATACTCTCTCATTAACGTAATATTTTATTAGTATTTAATTACTTCTCTAATTTCTAAAGAATATATTAAATAAGAAAGGTTAAAAGTGTTGGAGATTAGAGAGATTAGAGAGAAAGGGATAAGATATGAGTTTTTGTAAAATGAATTTGTAACAGAATTAATATTCACTTGGCACACAGTCTTTTATACAACCAGTAATTGTTTTTCTTACTAACAGACTTTCCTATTTTACACCACACTCTATTTCTATAGATTTAAGAATTATTCTCAACACTCCACCATAATCCTTAATCCATTGCAGATTACAGATTACAACATTTTCATATTAGTGACACAACACCTATTAACTTCCTAAGCTCTTCAAACCTTGTTTTCTTCAATGGCTTGGTAAATATATCTGCAATTTGTTCCAAGGACCTGCAGTACTTCATTTCAAGCTCACCTTTGCTGACTTTGTCACGAAGATAATGGAACCTTGCTTCTATATGCTTGGTTCTACCATGCCAAACTGGATTTTTGGCCAAGCTTATAGCACTTTTGTTATCCACCATGAGTTCAAATGGTTCCATAGTGCACTGCAGTTCTTCAAACAATCCAGTTAACCAAACACCTTGACAAGCTGCATAGGCTGCAGCCACATACTCAGCCTCACAAGTGCTTAAAGCAATAACATCTTGCTTCTTGGAGCACCAGGATACAGGTGCACCTTGAAACATGAAAATATAACCTCCTGTGCTCTTCTTTTCAACTTCATCTCCACACCAATCACTATTTGAATACCCTATCAGCTTGTCTCTTTCTTCCTTTACTTCTTCACAGTTTGTGAAACCAACCAACTCAGATTGCTCATTGTCTGATTTGTTTGGAAACAAGATTCCATATTCTGAAGTACCTTTAAGATACCTCAGAATTCTTTTTGCTGCCAGCCAGTGTGATTCCCTTGGATCGTCCATGAATCTACTTATCAATCCTACACTATACCCTATATCAGGCCTAGTATTACAAACATACCTCAGGGAACCAACCACCTGTCTGTATAAGGTGTTGTCCACTTTCTTCTCATCACTTGCTGTTCCAAGTTTCAAGGAAGTTTCTGCAGGAGTCATTGCTGGATTACAATTGGCCATGTTGAACTTCTTCAGTATCTCTGAAACATACTTTCTTTGATGCAGAAAAAATCCCTTTTCAGTTAAGACAAATTCCATTCCAAGGAAGGAAGAAAGAAAGTTGCCCCAAATCTGTCATTTCAAACTCTGCTTTCATGCTTTCCTTAAACTTCCCTATCAGTTGTGGACTAGTGCCAGTGACTAGTAGATCATCTACATACAAACAGATTATCAGAATTTCAGCACTTTTGTTCCTTACATATACACCATGCTCCCTTGTACAGTTGTTGAAGCCCAAGTACTTCAAATACTGGTCAATTCGTTTATTCCAGGCCCTAGGAGCTTGCTTCAGCCCATAAAGAGCCTTTCTCAGTCTCAACACTTTCTGTTCAGCCCCTTTAATCATAAAACCTGGAGGTTGTGTGACATACACTTCTTCTTCAAGCATTCCATTTAAGAATGCTGATTTTACATCCATTTGATGTAATAACCAGCCTCTTGAGTTAGCAAGTGCTACTACCAGCCTTATAGTTTCAAGTCTTGCAACTGGTGCAAAGACCTCCATGTAATCAATCCCTTCTTTTTGCAAGAACCCCCTTGCCACCAATCTGGCCTTATGCTTTGACACTGTCCCATCTGGCTTCAGCTTCAACTTAAACACCCACTTGACATCTATTGGCCTCTTGTTATTGGGTAGGTCAACCAACTCCCACGTTCCATTCTTCTCTATTGATCTTAGTTCATCAACCATAGCCTCCTTCCACACAGGTTCTCCTAATACTTCTTTAAAGTTTAATGGCTCAGCATCAGACATGAGTGCAAAATGTACTAGTTCACCTTCACTATTGACTTGATCATCTCTTACCACCTCATAGTCACTGAGTCTTGTTGATACTGATTTCTGTCTCTGAGATTTCCTCACCTCTGCATGCTCAATTCTTTCTTCAGGTTGGAGTACTACTAGTTCATAATCTTCATCACTCGATTCAATCTGCACATTACCAGACCTGCATGATCCTGATTTTACTGTATTACTCCAATT